GACCACAGTGTCTCGAGACCGAGACAAGACCAGGACTTTTAGGGTTTGGACCAAGTCCAGACCAAGACCAAGGGAGGGCGAGACCGAGACAAGACCAAGACCACAGTGTCTCGAGACCGAGACAAGACCAGGACTTTTAGGGTTTGGACCAAGTCCAGATCAAGACCAAGGGAGGGCGAGACCGAGACAAGACCAAGACCACAGTGTCTCGAGACCGAGACAAGACCAGGACTTTTAGGGTTTGGACCAAGTCCAGATCAAGACCAAGGGAGGGCGAGACCGAGACAAGACCAAGACCACAGTGTCTCGAGACCGAGACAAGACCAGGACTTTTAGGGTTTGGACCAAGTCCAGACCAAGACCAAGGGAGGGCGAGACCGAGACAAGACCAAGACCACAGTGTCTCGAGACCGAGACAAGACCAGGACTTTTAGGGTTTGGACCAAGTCCAGATCAAGACCAAGGGAGGGCGAAGCCGATACAAGACCAAGACCACAGTGTCTCCAGACCGAGGCAAGACCAAGTCAAGACCAAGACCACAGTGTCTCGAGACCGAGACAAGACCAAGACTTTTATGGTTTGGACCAAGTCCAGATCAAGACCAAGGGAGGGCGAGACCGAGACAAGACCAAGACCACAGTGTCTCGAGACCGAGACAAGACCAGGACTTTTAGGGTTTGGACCAAGTCCAGATCAAGACCAAGGGAGGGCGAGACCGAGACAAGACCAAGACCAGATAAAGAAAAATAGTGTCCTAAAAGATGGAGTATTCTGTACTCATGTACAGTGGGGTAAAAGTATTTAGTCAGCCATCAATTGTTCAAGTTCTCCCACTTCAAAAGAAGAGAGAGGCCTTTAACTGACATCATAGTTAGACCTCAACTATGAGAGACAAAATGAGAAAACATATCCAGAAAATCACATTGTCTTGTTTTTTTAAAGAATCTATTTGCAAATTATGGTGGAAAATAAGTATTTGATCAACAACAAACGAGGAAGATTTCTGTCTCTCACAGATCTGTAACTTCTTCTTTAAGAGGCTCCTCTGTCCTCCACTCATTACCTGTAGTAATGGCACCTGTTTGAACTTATCAGTGTAAAGGACACCTGTTCATTACCTTAAACAGTCACACTTCAAACTCCACTGTGGTGAAAACCAAAGAGCTGTGTAAAGACACCAGAAACAAAACTGTAGACCTGCAGCTGGAGCTGGGAAGACTGAGTCTGCAATATTAAAGCAGCTTGGTGTGAAGAAATCAACTGTGGGACCTGGTGAATGACCTGCAGAAGGCTTGGACTGACGTAACACTACGCCACCAGGGACTCAGATCCTGCAGGGCCAGACGTGTCCCCCTACAGGCCTCTCATCTTCAGTGGGAGAACTTGAACATTTGGTGGCTGACTAAAGACTTTTTCCCCCACTGTAGCTAACCTAATATAAAGAGCTAATATTGACAAAATCTTTGTAGCAAAATTCTTTCCTCTGCTCCCAAACAGAGGCAGATTATTGATGTTAGTGACGATAAAAGTTAAAAGTTGTCCCATCGTCTCTGAAAGTGAGGCTCTGCAGAATTTACAAGTTTCTGTATGCTTTCTCCTGGTTGTTGTTTTACAATGATTATTTATGAATAATGTAGCTAATTTTTTACTTAAAATTTTGAAGACATCCTTTACCGCTCCCAGAGGACCACTGTGCACTTTCCTGGAGTGAATACGAGTGAAGACAGTGGGGATGGGTGACAGTCAGTAACAAAAATACATACAGTAAGTAGCAATAAGTCAGGTTTGGCTTTGAATCAGTAGCTACATTTTAAATCCAATGAAAGCAAGAATGTTAATAAATTGGACAACAATCTGGCTGTTTAGTGATATTTCCACAGTTGTGGTCTTGACTGGTCTTGGAATAAAATTCCGAGTTCTCAATGTCCGAGACTGAGACAAGACCAAGACCATCAAAAAGTGGTCTTGAGACCGGTATTAAGACCAAGACCAGTTTCAAGTACTACAACACTAGTAGACATCCAATGGGATTGCCTGAAGCGGTGTAGACGACCAATCACGAAGCACATGGAAATAAAACTTTAGACTGAATTGTTTTTACATCGAAAAACTTACTATTTGAAGTTACTTTAATGTAACAACAGATCAGTTTCATAATACATCGGCCTGCGCGTCCTAAAAATTTTGTGTTTATGTTTTTGGAGTTTTTCCCCCCACCTGTATCGGAAAGGTAAGCTAGCTAACTATCCACCCCCCGTTCATGTCTGTTATCCAATAGATAACGCTAAGGTTTTCTTAATCAATTATGTTGATTCTGTTCTTTTTTATGGCTAAATGTTTTCTTTTTTCTGATGCTGTTCCACTCCTTCTGTTTCATGTAATTTGTCATGTGTTTAGTCATTGTAAAGCACTTGTACACAAACACACATATGACTATAAATGTAATAAATCACACACAAAACAAACACACACAAACATACAGCCTTGGCTTGGCAGAGGTTTGCGCTCTCAGAGTGCTTCTAGCATTGTGATTGCAGTCTAACACTGGTATGAAACACGTCATTCCAGGCGATGTGCTCAAAGACTGATAAACCTTTAGTTATCTGGTGTAAGAGGGGGGCATTTTTAGCTGAGACTGGGGTCCATACGACCTGATGGCCTGCCAAACAATAAAACATAGATAATCTAACATAATACTGTCCTGACAACTCGTCAACGTGTTTGTCAAGACAGTACTATGTTCACCTTTACACCTGTGTTGTCTCACCTTCCTGTGCCCAGAGTTGTGACTGATCTCAGAAGTCTCTGTGTTGTAATGGTCCAGTTTATGAGCCAGCTTCCTCCCTCCCAGGATCTCCTCCAGGGAGGTGTTTGTGGGCGGTTGTGACAGGCTGGAGATGACCTGAGACAAAGGTTCGGGGATTTGCTCGAGATGCTGCTTGTGGTTCATCTCTGGTAAAGATATAACGGTGGACTCACCCCCGTCTTGTGGTCCAGTTTTCTCAAACAGAGCACCTGCACTGATGGAGTAATCCACATTATCAGGCACACTGTAGTCCGTGTCTGACTCTAGGAACATGTTTGCATAAAGTTTCTGTTTGTTATCAAAGAAGGAGTTGCTATTTATACTCTCAACAAAATCCAAGTCCTGCCACGGTGCCACGGTGCCACACAGTCCGTTTAGACCGCCTGCTTTCTGCTGGCTGGGGTCCTGCAGGGAGAACTGCTTCTGGATCCTAGAGCCCTGATGAAGCTGAAGGTAGCGTTGATGCGTTTGCTGCTGCTGAAGCTCGCCGTCCGTTTGAGATTTTAAGGGTTCAAGTTGTATCCCCGCAGTGACCAGAATGTCCTGAGCTGTCCACTGTCCATTGGGGAYGGGTAGATTAGGATCCAGTAGTTCTTCATGAGTCATCGGATCACTGTGCTGTCGCCAATCATTTGCTGCTTTGACTGCCTGCGCGTTCAGGTGCTGCTGCATCTGCTGTGACAGCTGCAGAATGGGAGGCTTGCAGTGAGGTAACGCCACCTGCAGATTCAAACTAGATGTGGGATTATTTTCAGGTCCTGCGGTGATGGGCACAGCTGTGCTGGTTGTTGTCAATTGTCCCCCATGCTCCACGGAGTCGGGTTTTCCTTCTATAGAATCGTGGATGTACGAAAGTATCTCGTCATTTGTCAGCAGTTCATCCAACGTGGGCACGTGCTCAGGATCGACCTCCACTTTGATCATACGCTCATCCAGCAGCAGCAGCTCCAGGTCCTCTGCGCTCAGTCCCAGACCCTCCAGAGCCAAAAACAACTCACCGTTTGAACAGCCTCCATTCTCTGCATCCACCACCCCCTGGGTCTCCAAGGACAAAGAGTCCAGAGTAGCCAGCAACGGATCAAAGCTGGTGCTYGGCTCTGCAACCAGACCGTTAGCAGGGTCGTTCCAGCTCCTGCGCTGCCCACMCATCTCAGAGTAGGAGAAGTCGTGTTCTCCAAAGAAGCAGCTTTGGAAAGACATTTTGGGTTCAGGAGCCGGTTGGGAAACGTACACAGATTCATCCTGACTCATGAGAGCACCGAGCAGGGAGCCCGGGTTCAGACCGTCCCTCACCAGCCTGTCAGAACGACACTTCTTTGACTTGCTCCTCTCCTGGCTCCTGTCAATGAACCCTGCGATGGGATGGTTGGACTGGTAGAGCAGGGCCTCACCTGTAGCATAGGTAAATGGAAGGTGCATGGAGCGCTTACGCAAGTGTTCACCTCCTTCTTCATCCCTGTGAAAACAAAAAATAATTGTATTTTTCAGTCACCATTGTGACTCTAAATTGCGACTTGTAAATTTGTAAAAATGTTTCATTTAGAGAAACTCCATTTTCTGTGAAAATGTAATGTAATGTTTGATGAAGAAGCTAAAACTAACTTGTTAAAATTCGCAGCACAAACTTAAAACTAAAGAGGCAGAACAGTAGCTAAAATAATAATGAGAAGATGCTAAATCTAAAATTAGCAGCTGAAATTTCAAACCAGCAGAATTGTAGCTAAAAGTAGCAAAACTGTAGCTAAAGACTAAAAGTAGCAAACGGATTGTTAAAAGCTAAAAGTAGTGCAACATAAGTTAAATGAGCAGAATGGTAGCTAAGAGCTAAAAAAAGAAGAAACAGTAGTATAGAAACCAAGAGTCGAAAAAAACTGAATGAATATTAAAAGCTAAAAATAGCTTAACAGTAGCTAAAAAGTAACAGTAGCACAACAGTAGTTTAAGACTGAAGGGAGTAAAAATGGTAGCTGAAACAAAAAAAAAATAGTACCTAAAATGACTAAACAGTTGCTAAAAGCCAAATACTGTATAGCTGGATAGTTTAGCAAAAAGCAACAAAATGGCAGCTGAAACAAAAAGGACGTACCTAAAAATAGCTAAAAGCTAAAAGGTTTCAGGACAAGTAGATTTCAAACAATGGGTTTCAAGGAATTATAGAGCTCTTAGGGTATTTCTGAATAACAATTAATCATAATCAGTGGTGGGCAGTGTTAATCCAAAAATTAGCTCCGCAATTTCTAAAGCACTTATGAAAACATTTAGGCCCACAACTTCAAAAACACTTATACCATAGATCACTTAGTGAAAGTTTATTTTAAAGCACAAGCTTAATTTGACACTCATTAGCTGACAACAATTTATGTGCAATATATGCACAACACTGTCAACTAGCGGTGTATGAATCCTTGTACAGCTTAATCCTACAACCGCTGATTGCTGGAGATGTGATTTCCTGAAACAGACCTTTAGCTCCTGCTGTAAAAATTAAAAAGTTGTTGAGGATTGCTAGTTCGGCTGATTCTTTGTCTTTTTCTTTTGTTTGTTGTAGATTTTTCATTAAAGAAGCATCAATAAAGTAATTTTAAAACTGTTTATTGGAAAACTGAAGCGATCCATTCTGGGTACATGACGGATTTGATTTGTGACGGAAACGAAAGCACGCAGTACAGGAAACTATCTTCCCTTCAAAATAAGAGCGTGGATTTTAAAGTTTTCCATGTAGTTACTCCAGTTGACCACTAGATGTCAGTCTTCACCAGCATAACATCTTTAAATCATTTCTGAGTCTCTAACACCTTTGGCCGATTGCTTCGACCAATTACGTCAAGTATTGAGCTCCAGCATTTAAACTTTATTTTTAAAAAAGGAGCTCAGATTGTAAAGTAAAATAAATCAATACAAACTAAATTTTAGTATGGATTACACACATTTACTGTTTTTGACATTGCCTTCCTGCTACGTAAGCAGACACAAAGCATTGTGGTAAATGAGAACTGTGACCCAAAGCAACAGTCAGCAAGGATGTATACCTTCACAATAAGTGTGTTTATCTGGGAGGGGTGCTGTTGGATAGATCACATGTTGTGATACATTGACAGCCATACCTTCTGCTGTTCAAGATAATGATAACTGGGAGATAATCAGTTATTAGCGGTACTGCATTTTAATTTTAGAAAGTGCAAATCCACTTMTGAAATATTAGTAAAACTGCTAGAGCGCAAACAAAATATTTAGGTCTGCAAATAGTGGATTTGTGCTTTAGCGGGCTGGAGCCCACCACTGATTGTAATTATGTAAAATATTTTCAGAAGTGTAAAAGTTTAAAAAACAAAAGCCACAGCACACTATTCCCCTTCCCGCTGAATGTTTTGATACAGTATCAATAGTTAAAATAGCACTAAATACGCTAAAGTAGTCGCAAAACTTGTCCAGCAGAATCTTAAATACAGGAAAGTGTGAATGCTGACTCAGCGGTCCAACAATAAATATGTTGTGTGTGGATTCTAAATGTTTATAATGACATGTAGCAACAGAACCGTACAGCAGAGGCCTCTGGGTGCAAATGATGTAGTCTGGTTTTCCGTTTTTGTACACCAGCCGAGCGTTGGACTGGACCCATTTCCAGCGGTTCTCTTTGGTGAGAAGCCTGAAGACAGTCAGCCCACTTTCTCCGGTCTTTATCACTAAACAGAAACACAACTAGTGAACAGGATGCAGGAACAGAACAAAAAACACTTTAACGTCACAAAGTTACAAGTTTCCTACTTAAAAGCATAAAATGTTCATGCTGCCAAATATTTTAAAAACTAAAAACTGTTTTGTACCAGATGTTCCCCTGTGACATGTGAGGTTTTACACCACTAATGAATAAAACTCTTTTTTATGTTGGGGCCATGTTGGTTAAAAGATACTGACCCCATCCCCTGCAGATTACACACACATTTGACCTTTGTGTTTTTGTGTTTCTGTTGCTGCTGCGAGGATCATCTCATGTTGTGGATTTGCAGCTCCTATCCTTTCCTCTAGCAGCTCTGCAGCTTTGCTCAATCTGCTTGTTAATCCGACGGGATTACTTGTTGAAGCAGCCTGAAAATGCTCAACATTTGAGACGAGACAGAGACTACAGGAGAAACAGGTTTCTAAGAGTGGCTCGGCTCGTGCACAACATGTAGGTCTTTCAAGTTGCCTAAAATCTGTAACATATTTTAACATTTTTTTATAGTTTGGCTGCAGAACAAAAAAATATTTTGTTTTACATCACGCATACCAGATAAACTGTGTTTTCAACCAATTTAAAGCAGTTTTTTAAAAGAACTATTTTATGTTTTATCAGGTCTACTAATCATTTGGTCTTTATCAGTTTCTAAAATAATTTAAATCCAACCTCAACTTTACAAAAACACAACAGATTCCATCATGTCAGTATTTACTAAACAAAACCCTTTGCTGAAATAGAAAAACTTTGATTTATTTTAGAGGTGCAGGATCAGCCTGGACTGGGACTACCTCTTGAAAATGTGGCGTTTTGCTGCTTTGGAACTCACAGCTGTGTGTTAACACGACGCCAAGGTTGAAGGACATCAGCGTTGACCTTAGAGAAGCAACTCTGGCAATAATGGTTTTGTCTATGTGTGTTTTTGGGATTGTTTATAGCATTCACAATATATATGATGAACCACATGTGGATTTTAAACTGTGTACTTTTGAACTCAAACCAATTCAACATGGCCGCCACCAGAGTTGTAAAGCAACTAAGTACAAATACTTTGCTACTGTACTTAATAGGGGTGTAAGAAAATATCGAAACACTGAAATATCGAGATATTTCATTTCCCAATACTGTATCGATATTCTAAAGCCCTGTATAGATTTTTATTAAGGTTT